GTGGTCTTTACTCGCCACTGGGTGTTTTATTTTTTGCGCTATAAACAAAAAAAAGAGCAAAAAAAAAAGTTTTTCTTTGTATCTATTATAAAATGTTGCAAACAGGTAATTTTTCTCCTTCAATGATGTGCATTGATGAGGCTGCACTGATAGGCAGCACTGATGGGCAGCACTGATGGGCACGGATAGGCAGCACTGATGAGGTGGCACAGATAGGCAGCACTGTTGGGCACTGATGAGGTGGCACGGATAGGCAGCACTGATGGGCACTGATGAGCTGGCACTGATGATGCTGCACTGATGGTTGGCACTGCTGGGCACAGGTGGGTGGCACTGCTGAGTGGAACAGGTGGGTGGCACTGAGTGGCACAGGTGGGTGGCACTGATGGGCACAGGTGGGTGGCACTGATGGAGGTGGGTAGCACTGATGGGCACAGGTGGATAGCACTGATGAGTACGGGAGGGCAGCACTGCTGGGCACTGATCATTAGGGCACTGATCATCAGTGTTGATCCCTTCGCTGACAATCGCCGGTTCTCGGCAGTACTTTCCGCATGCTGTGACAGCGTGAGGAAAGTGCAGCCGATAAAAACCAGCAACTGTATTTACCTGGTGATTGCTGTGTCATTGGGCACAGCTGATCACATGGTTAAAAGCCATTGTGATTGGCCGTTTACTGTACCACGTGATCAGCTGTGTCCATAGGACACAGCAATCACCGGCAGGGCCGGATGCACGTTGCTGGGGGCGCGCAGGGGGGCGTGTCCTGGAATGATGTTTATGGACCTCGTCCCAGGATTAAACAACCGCGCTGCAGCTGTCCTTGGGTTATAGCGCCGTTGGGAACCAGTTAAAGGGTAACTCTACTTTTGTGGGATTAAAAAAAGCAAAATAATAATAAATAATATAACATATGCAACTGCTACACAAATCATATTGTAATTGAATGTTATAAAAAATAGCCTTTCCTTTTCAATATGCAGCACTGTAATTTTCTGGAAAATGCAATGCAAATTGGCAATCTGAAACACCCCCAGAAACATAATTTCCTGCTTGTGTCATTGCCTTACTGATTTTCCCAGAAGTCTGCACTAAGATACAAATCAGATTTTAGGTATCCCCTGCAAAAAAAATTTAATTTTTGGTGATATACTCCCAAAGGGAAATCACCTCTAAAGGGATGCAGACCCTGCCACTTTCCTTATTATATGCCTGCAAGTGCAGCAGCTGACTGATAATTATAAAGTCGCTCCCATGTTCCTTTATTTTGCATATGGACACAGACAAACAAAAGGTAGGAATCTGCAGCAAAGTTTGTTAAAATCCTTGGAGTGTACAAAGATCGCCCAAATGGGAATTTTTTTTTTCAACAAAAGTTGAGTTACTGCTATTGGCTGGGAACCACCACAGCCGGGATCATCACTGATGGGCGTACAGCCATCTTTGAAATGTTTACACCATTCAAATGTTTTACTGCGGCTGAGCATCTTATCATCATACTTTGCTTGAAGCCTTCTGTAGATATCTGCGGGATTTACGCTTTCATTCACAAGAAACTTCATCACCACATGCTGTTCAATGCATGCACTATTGTTGTCTGCCATCTTGATTAATGGTCGCTGGAAATGGCCCATGACATGTGCGTTGCCTATCAGTAACAGGACACAACACTTGCCACTTAGTACCGCCACACTGGCATCCCTCTGCATGCCTCTAAAATTAAAAGTCCCAGTTTGACTTGAACGTCTCTAGTATATATACACTATATTGCCAAAAGTATTAGGACACCTGCCTTTACACGCACATGAACTTTAATGGCATCCCAGTCTTAGTCCATAGGATTCAGTAACACCTTCAACTCTTCTGGGAAGGCTGTCCACAAGGTTTAGGAGTGTGTCTATGGGAATGTTTGACCATTCTTCCAGAAGAACATTTGTGAGGTAAGGCTGTCAGGGCAGGAGCTGTGGAACGGACAGGCAGGCCTAGAGGCAGGGTCACGCACTGACTGACGACAACCACCGACCGGAGTCCCTCAGGGCGCGGAGTCTAAGTCCCAGGCTGCCTTTTACCAGGGCCCCTGATGGTGGGGATGGACTTGACGCAGCCAGGAACCAGGTCACGGCCCCCGAGACACCCCAGCTGCAGTAATGGCCGCCGCCAATGGCGTGTAGCTGGTAGGAATCAGATCAGACAATAGCGTAGTCGGACAGGCCGGGTCGACAACAACGGGACAAACGGTACAGAACAGTAGACAAGAATCACAGGTCACAGGCCGAGTTCAGCAACGGGAGGTCAGATCAAAGGAAACCGCAGAGAATGGTCTAGTCACAAGCCGAGTCAGATTCCAGGAGAGTCACAAGAGTATACACAGAGCTGTTGCAACACTAACACACAAGACACGAATGCAACGAGCATGTGCGGACAACAGACTTATATATAATCAACCACACCCCTCTGGGGGATGGACCTCAGAGGCCTGAAGGCATAAAAGACTCCCACCATGCTCTTTGCAGAAACCCAAGATGGATGCCAGCACATGGAGCAGCACAACCTCTGGGAAAAGGTAGGACCTTGACACAGGCACTGATGTCGGACGAGAAGGCCTGGCTCTCAGTCTCCACTCTAATTCATCCCAAAGGTGTTTTATCAGGTTGAGGCTAGGACTGTGCAGGCCAGTCAAGTTTCTCCACCCCAAACTCGCTCATCCATGTCTTTATGGACCTTGCTTTGTGCACTGGTGCACAGTCATATTGGAACAAGAAGGGGCCATCTCCAAACTGTTCCCACAAAGTTGGGAGCATGAAATTGTCCAAAATGTCTTGGTATGCTGATGCCTTAAGAGTTCCCTTCACTGGAACTAAGGGGCCAAGCCCAACCCCTGAAAAAAAACAACCCCACACCATAATCCCCCCCTCCACCAAACTTTACACTTGGCACAATGCAGTCAGGCAAGTACCGTTCTCCTGGCAACTGCCAAACCCAAACACGTCCATTGGATTGCCAGACAGAGAAGCGTGATTGGTCACTCCAAAGAATATGTCTCCACTGCTCTAGAGTCCAGTGGTGGCGTGCTTTACACCACTGCATCCAATGCTTTGCATTGCATTTGGTGATGTTAGGCTAGGGTGCAGCTGATCAGCCATGGAAACCCATTCCATGAAGCTCTCTACGCACTGTTGTGCTAATCTGAAGGCCACATGAAGTTTGGAGGTCTTTAGCTATTAACTCTGCAGACAGCTAGTGAATTCTGCACACTGTGCGCTTCAGCATGTGGTGACCTTGTTCTGTCATTTTATGTGGCCTACCACTTTGTGGCTGAGTTACTGTTGTTCCCAGTTGCTTTGATTTTGTTATAATACCACTAACAGTTGACTATGGAATATAGCGGAGACTGCAAGCCAGGCCTTCTCATCCAACATCAGTGCCTGACCTCACAAATACGCTTCTGGAAGAATGGTCAAACATCCCCATAGACACACTCCTAAACTTTGTGGACAGCCTTCCCAGAAGAGTTGAAGCTGTTATAGCTGCAAAGGGTGAGCCAACTCAAAACTGAACCCTATGGACTAAGACTGGGATGCCATTAAAGTTCATGTGCGTGTAAAGGCAGGCATCCCAATACTTTTGGCAATATAGTGTGTATATATACTGTATATATATATATATATATATATATATATATTTTTTTTTTTTTTTATAATATCATGTAATCTGTATGCAAGATTTAAACCTACTGAAATGAATTATAACCTCACTGCGTGCTATTGGTTATATCAACTTCTTAAAATATCCTTTTCATTACTGGCCCTGCCTTTTACAGACAGTATATAAAACACATGTAGGACTATTTAAGTTTGGCAGACTATTGATGTCAGGAGATTCATTTCTCTCCATTTAACAAGAATCAGCCGTCCTGTACGTTTACCATGTGCACTCTGTATGTCCATCCATGCTGCTGGTGATGAAGAGGCTCTTATTTTTCCTTACTGGTAATATGTTATGTCATACCATAATGACAGTAATACAAGTCTATATTTTCTAACTCCCTGTACACTCATTCATCCTGTATAAATTGCTCTTGCTAAGGCATACTTTAAATGTGTAACATTGTTTCTATTCCATTTTCATTCCATCATTGCTGAGAAATCCAGATGTACAATTACCACGCTGGAGACTTCCCCTGCAAATAATCAGATGTTAAAGAGATGTTTGGCAGTCTTTCTCAAGACTTCTATTTAAAAATGGGTATAATGGGAACAAAAACACATCTTTATATAAGGTATCTGAACAGGGGGGCATAGCTGAAGTCTCCCTGGGCTTCAGTGCAAAATCTGAGCTGCAATAGCCCATCCATATTAATATTCCCTACCATAAAATTAAAGTGGAACTCCACACTAAAACAAATATATGATTAGTATTTTACTTGCCAGTGGGTATGTACGTTAGCATAGGCAGTCTTGTGATTTACACTTTTGTCACATTCAGTGGCCAGAAAGATTGCTCTACTGACTCTTGGATTAGCTTTAATATGACTTAATTACATCACTGCTAAAAAGACAGATGTGACGAAGTGGAGCATGTTCTGCGCAAAATTCTCTACGGGGGGCAGTATCCTTCAAAATTAAAAAGAGGAAGTTACAATCTGGCATGGAACGGTTGTTTGCAAACTTTCCATCACAATTAATTGAATTTGCACTCGGTTTGGAAGTGAGGCATGTGGTCTGAATGGGCTGGGTAGTACCAGCGTTGGGCAGAGAGAGGTCAGGTAAATGTTTGTTCTTACAGGACTTTTGTGGAAATGGGGGCCCAAAAAGGGAAAGTACAAAATATGTGCATTTTCACTTTCAAGTGTGATATGGGAATTGAAATTGCACCTGAAATTGCATCCAATGAATGTGACTGTCAGTGTCTTAACATTTGTGATTTGCTGCAGCGCGATTTCTAAAGTAGTTCTTGCATTACTTTTTGTGCAGTTTTGTTGTGATTTCACATACATAGAATATAATGAATATAAATATACCGTATTTTTCGCTCCATAAGATGCACCTAGGTTTTAGAGGAGAAAAACAGGAAAAAAAATTTTCTGAACCAATGGACTGCAGACACAGTACAGGGGGATGGGATGACCAGATGACCAGAGACTGCGACACACACGGTACAGGGGATGACCAGAGACTGCGGACACGGTACAGGAGATGGCCATAGACTGCGGACATGGTACAGGAGATGACCAGAGACTGACGGACACAGTACAGGAGATGACCAGAGACTGCGGACACGGTACAGGAGATGGCCAGAGACTGCGGACATGGTACAGGAGATGACCAGAGACTGCGGACACGGTACAGGAGATGGCCAGAGACTGCGGACACGGTACAGGGGATGACCAAAGACTGCGGACACGGTACAGGAGATGGCCAGAGACTGCGGACACGGTACAGGGGATGACCAGAGACTGCGGACACGGTACAGGAGATGACCAGAGACTGCGGACACAGTACAGAAGACCAGAGACTGCGGACACAGTACAGGAGATGACCAGAGACTGCGGACTTAGTACAGAAGATCAGAGACTGCAGACAGTACAGGGGATGACCAGAGACTGCAGACAGTAAAGGAGATTACCAGAGACTGCATACCTTTGGGGAGGGAGGGGGAGCGGGTACCTGAATTTGACAGGTACCCGCTCCCACTTCCGCGGAGTTGTCCTTCCTTCTTCTTCCCGCGGCGGCTTCTGTGACAGCCGGGTGCCCACTGCGCATGCGCGAGAACCTGTCATGTGTCCCAGAAGACACCGGACCATTAACAAAGCGCGGCGCTTCTCGCGTATGCGCAGTGGGCACCCGGCTGTCACAGAAGCCGCCGCGGAAAGACTGCAGCGCTGGAGCGAGGAACAGGTAAGGCCCTGCAGGAGAGAAGAGCTGAGCGGCCGGCCCAATATTCTGACATGGTGGCGGCAGAAATACCGGACCGGCCGCTTTACATTCGCTCCATAAGACGCACTGACATTTTCCCCCCCTTTATTTGGGGGAAAAAAGTGCGTCTTATGGAGCGAAAAATGCGGTAATTGCACTAAAAATGCAAAAAAATTGTTGAAAAATGTTGAAAAGTAGCAATAAAGTCTTCAGAGAATGCATCTGAAATTGCGCTGAAATTGCACACAAATCGCAAGATTTTAAATCGCAGTGGTGTGACCGGTGATTTAGCGCTATCAAAGCTGAACCCTGGGGAAAACTAAAATTCTCCCATGCAGTGGCGCTGCCACTGCACTGCGGGGGTTGAATGCTCGTTTATATCTAGGGTACATTTATGTCTATGATCCAGGTTCCCTCCAGGTTCCAAAGACTATTCTCCCCTATGCTTCAGCAGTCACAGGCCCAATGGATGTTAGGATGCCAAGGGACAGTCTACAAACCAGAGCAGAAGGAGCGCTGCCTGCTACAGGACCTGGGATAAGGTAAGTAAAACTGCATTTTTCCGTCTCCTAGACATAAATGAACATTGAACCCTTGCATTGTGTGGGGAGCCTCACTGAAAAGGAGGATTATTGTTTCCCCCTGACATAGGCTTAAAGTAATATTACCCCCCCCCCAAAAAAAAAATTATATATTGCAGTTTACTGATTCATAGATGTGGTGGCTACATTAGTCTACCTTATTAGGCTTTTTTCTATTTCATTTTCACCTGTTGATCCTGCCAGTAAGTCTGTTATTTTTCCAAAGATCAAGCTATCCAGCAAAAGTAGCAGTTAGAGGACTGAGACAAATTATTTCAAACTGACAGAGGTGTTTACCACAGTCAGCTTTTATTCATTTATGTAAAACCTTTGTTTCAAAAGAAAAAAACATATGCTGTAACTGCTTAATAAGTGTTAGCTGGACTTCAGCTTCATATTTGTTAGTCAAGTCCATCTAAATCTGCGAGTATCAGGTGAAAATAAATGGAAAAAGTCTAATGAAAAGTGAATTCAGCCACCAGAGGATTGATAAATTGCAATATATTACATTTTTGGATTTGGGTTTAGTACTGCTTTAACCTCTTCAAGTCCGGACACTTTCACACCCTTCCTGTCCAGGCCAATTTTCAGCTTTCAGTGCTATCACACTTTGAATGACAATTGTGTGGTCATGCAACACTGTACCCATATGAATTGTTTAGCATTTTTTGAGACAGATAAACCTTTTTTTTGGTGGTATTTTTTCACCACTGGGATTTTTATTTTTTTGCTATATAAATGAAAAAGTCCAAACATTTTGAAAAAAGCGTGTTTCTTATAACATTTTGCAAATAAATAAACTTTGCTCATAAATCTTGGCCAAAATGTATTCATCTATCTTTTTAGTAAAAAAAAAACTCAAATTAGTTTATAACCAAAAATTATAATTTTTCAAAGTTTTTTTTGACATTTTTTTTTTTTTTTATATTATTGTTTATGTTTTGCTTTTTTTGTTTTGTTTTTTGTTTTTTTTTACTAACATACTATCACCCTAGTAGTACAGAGTCACCATAGTGACCCTGTACTACTCGTGGGGGGTGATGATTTTTTTTTTTCACACTGATTGCTTTTACACCCATAAAAGCTGTAAAAAAATAATTTCTACTTCTTCCTGGCTGCATTCTTGCAGCCATTGAGAAATACTGTGTGAGCTGTGATTGGTCACAGCTTGTCACATGGTACAAGGCTGTTGTGAATAGCCTTGTACCATGTGACCTCTGTGATCATTCACAGATTTCACACGTAGTAAGCAATGTCAGCAAGTGACATCTTGTTTACTACTGTTCATGTGATCACTGATTGGTCAATCAGTGATCACGATTGGGACCTCACACAGAGGTCCCATACAGCGATTGGTGTTCCACTGTGTCTGGGGGACACAGCGGGCACCAGATCACAGTGCTGCATGCTCCCAGGGAGCGCGCACAGGCAGGGAGCAGCGAGGACGTTTATAAAGTGAAATCAACAACCTGGCAGTGCTGTCTGGCAGAGCTGTGTAATTTTTAGGAATGGATGGGCAGAATTACTAATCATTTGGCACCAGGGGCGGACTGACCATTTGGAAACTCGGGCACTGCCCGAGGGCCTGGGGTCAATAGGGGGTCCCATAAGATGTCCCTAGTACCTTTTTCATAGGCTTTTTTGAGTTTGGGCAAGAACACAGGGGCCCCATGATCCCCTATTGCCCAGGGGCCCCATGAATTGGCAGTCCGCCCCTGTTTGGCATATACAACAGTTAACTTGTTCAGCTGTTCACCTGAAGGTCAGCTAATACTGATATAGAGATCTAGTATATTAAACAAATACATTGACATCCAGAAGATCCATCTATGGGACACACTAGGCCAGTGATGGCGAACCCGTGGCACGCGTGCCACAGCCGGCACGCCGAGCCTTATCTGTGGGCACACCAGGAGAATCCAGCGGCGCGCTGTCTTCCCGGCTGTAGTGTGCGTGACAGCCGGGTCCCAAGTGCGCATGCGCAAGAAGCAGTGCTCTTTGTGAATGGTAAGGCGGTACCTGGGACACATGACAGATCCCAGAAGCAGCCGGACCAATCACAAAGCGCAGCGCTTCTCGCGCATGCGCACTGGGCATCCGGCTGTCCGACGAGCGCCCACACTACAGAAGCCGGGAAGACAGCGCGCAGCTGGATCGAGGAACAGGTAAGATAAAAAAAAAAAAAACTCTGCGGAAGTAAGAGCGGGTACCTGTCAAATTCAGGTACCCGCTCCCCCTCCCTCCCCAAAGGTCAGCAGTCATCTCTGTACTGTCCGCAGTCTCTGGTCATCCCTGTGCTGTCCGCAGTCTCTGGTCATCCCTGTGCTGTCCGCAGTCTCTGGTCATCCCTGTGCTGTCCGCAGTCTCTGGTCATCTCTGTACTGTCCGCAGTCTCTGGTCATCCCTGTGCTGTCCGCAGTCTCTGGTCATCCATGTGCTGTCCGCAGTCTCTGGTCATCCCTGTACTGTGTCCCCAGTCTCTGGTCATCTCCTGTACTGTGTCCGCAGTCTCTGGTCATCCCTGTACTGTCCGCAGTCTCTGGTCATCCCTGTACTGTGTCCGCCGTCTCTGGTCATCCCTGTACTGTGTCCGCAGTCTCTGGTCATCTCCTGTACTGTCCGCAGTCTCTGGTCATCTCCTGTACTGTTCGCAGTCTCTGGTCATCTCCTGTACTGTGTCCGCAGTCTCTGGTCATCTCCTGTACTGTCCGCAGTCTCCGGTCATCTCCTGTACTGTCCGCAGTCTCTGGTCATCCCTGTACTGTCCGCAGTCTCTGGTCATCCCTGTACTGTGTCCGCAGTCTCTGGTCATCCCTGTACTGTGTCCGCAGTCTCTGGTCATCTCCTGTACTGTGTCCGCAGTCTCTGGTCATCCCTGTACTGTCCGCAGTCTCTGGTCATCTCCTGTACTGTGTCCGCAGTCTCTGGTCATCCCTGTACTGTGTCCGCAGTCTCTGGTCATCCCTGTACTGTCCGCAGTCTCTGGTCATCCCTGTACTGTGTCTGCAGTCTCTGGTCATCCCTGTACTGTGTCCGCAGTCTCTGGTCATCCCTGTACTGTCCGCAGTCTCTGGTCATCCCTGTACTGTCCACAGTCTCTGGTCATCCCTGTACTGTGTCCGCAGTCTCTGGTCATCCCTGTACTGTGTCTGCAGTCTCTGGTCATCCCTGTACTGTGTCCGCAGTCTCTGGTCATCCCTGTACTGTCCGCAGTCTCTGGTCATCCCTGTACTGTCCGCAGTCTCTGGTCATCTCCTGTACTGTGTCCGCAGTCTCTGGTCATCCCTGTACTGTGTCCGCAGTCTCTGGTCATCCCTGTACTGTGTCCGCAGTCTCTGGTCATCCCTGTACTGTGTCCGCAGTCTCTGGTCATCCCTGTACTGTCCGCAGTTCTGGTCATCCCTGTACTGTCCGCAGTCTCTGGTCATCCCTGTACCGTGTCCGCAGTCTCTGGTCATCTCCTGTACTGTGTCCGCAGTCTCTGGTCATCCCTGTACTGTGTCCGCAGTCTCTGGTCATCCCTGTACTGTGTCCGCAGTCTCTGGTCATCCCTGTACCGTGTCCGCAGTCTCTGGTCATCTCCTGTACTGTGTCCGCAGTCTCTGGTCATCCCTGTACTATGTCCGCAGTCTCTGGTCATCCCTGTACTGTGTCCGCAGTCTCTGGTCATCCCTGTACTGTGTCCGCAGTCTCTGGTCATCCCTGTACTGTGTCCGCAGTCTCTGGTCATCCCTGTACTGTTAATTAGTTTGCACTACTGTACGAGTTGTTTTTTCTAAACCAAAAGCTCGATATTCAGGTTTCATTGCAGTGTTGGCACTTTGAAAGAAATAAGTTGGTTTTGGGTTGCAGTTTGGGCACTCGGGCTCAAAAAGGTTCGCCATCACTGCACTAGGCACTCCTTTCAGAGATTTAGTAACCTGGATACATTTTTAGTTCTTTAAA